AAATAATCTATTTTCAAAAATCAAAAGTTTGTTTATTACTAAAAAAATAGAAATATTAAAAAAATTCATGTACAAAATCATTTTTCAATATACATCTAAAGAGATTCCAGATTTACATGATAATAATTGTATAATATGCTTGTCTGAAATTAATCTAACACTTCAAACCCCCATTACAATTTAATATGCTTCTATTTTTTTTACGCCAAATGCATTAATCGTTAGGTTTCTGAATCAGAATTTTTTTGCCCTATTTGTCAAAATGGAGAACAGGAAAATTTTGTTTCAAGAACTAATCAGAAAACTTGTTTAATTGAACCTACTATAGCAAATACATTTCTAGAAAGTACTTTCATACTATATACAATGATTTTTGACTCCAATTATCCACCTACTGTCACCAACTCCAATAATTTACCTACTATCATCAAATCCGGTAATTCACCTAACTCCAGTAATTCTGCTACCATTACCAACTCTAGTAATTCTGCCACTTTTACTATTGCCAACTCTAATGCTCTCAATACATCTATAGAATTTGCCAATGCTAGTAATCCTATTGGCAACTCTAGTAATCTCACCATATCTATGGACTTCACTGACTCTAGTAATCCTGCCATACCTATTATCTTCAACCCTGATAATTATACTGCTTTTACTAATAATTCTGCGATATTTGCTAATTCTAATAATTCTACTATACCTACAGCATATATTAACTCTAATAATCTTACTACATCTGCATCAATTGCTAACTTTAATAATCTCTCTATATTACCTTTATTAACTCTGCTGCTTGTGAAAAACAAGAAACAGATTTTTAAAAAATTTTTGCAGAATTAACTACTATTAATAGAGATAAATTATCTAGAGTTAGTAATAGTGAAGATAAAAACAGTAAAAATATAACATCAAATTTGGCTTTGCTTTATAATAAAGCAAATCGTTTCAAAAAACATGCAACAGTGACTAATTAGGCTGAAATATGGTCCTGGTATCAATATGCTAAAGCCTTTGAAAAATGATTAAATGAAATATTACAAACCACTAGAATACCTATAAACAAAGCCAAATCTCAAATTTATAATAAAATTTTAGCATATATTTCTGATCTTACTAAAGATACTTTAAAAAAAAGAACTCAGAAGGCAAATACTATATACAATTTGTTTAAAATAATTGGTGTAGATAAAATAAAATGAATTAAATCATTTGGTTTTAACACAGTCTCAAAGCTTACCAAACCTCAAATTAAAATAATTATTTGAAGATATTACAGGCAGAATAATAATATCGATATACATATATGTAAATGATCTGGTCATTTGATCAGATTTAAATAATCCAAATAATATTAGAATATATCATATTGGTAAATTTACAGATATATGTAACAAAAATTACCAAGATTTTTTTATAATAAAATTTGGGATCTGCTACTTTATATTATTAAAATTGTTGGGATTATATAGGTAGATATTTAGATTACTCTGTATAAATAATTTTTTTACACTGTGTAATTTATTTGCCACATACCATAATATCTATTATGAGGATCTTAATGTATTTATCACCTATATATCCCAGTATTACTATTAAAAATTAAAAGTTTCTGCACCCTGACCTTGTAAAATATTTTAGTACATATTTTTTTTCACATTTATTACGTATTATTTCTTATCAGTAGTCTTATTATTAATATATTATTATTATATATTACTTTTCTTGCTATAGATAAATTATTTTCTCGACATTTTTTATTAGTACTCCGGGTAGGTTTAGACACTCGTTTCTCGTATTTTTTTACATTTTTCACTTTTTTTCTTTGTTTTTGTCTTGTCAGGCTGATCGGGTAAATCAAAATTTACGACTTGATTGGTTGTAAGTCACGTAAATGAACTTGGCTTTAGATGACTTTCCAAAATAGAAATTTTTAGAGAAATAGGCCTGTACAATAGTAAAATTAACCCAGAAATATTTTTTACTTAATGTGTGGCTATAGTTTCATTGGTAAAATTTGAGTAATTTTGGTCTAAATTATTGATCATCACTTATAGCTAATCAAAATTGAGAAATTTTGTGAAATTTTGGTACAGCAGCTAGGTTCAATCCTAAAGAAAAAATAATAAAAGATAGAATTAACAAAATAAGAAAACTACAAAAACTATATATAAATTTGAAGTGAGAAACAACAATTCTAAATTATTTATAATACATAGTCATGTGATGATCATAAAGGACCTTCATGATTAGATTAGTAGGTTTTGATCTGCCACAGTATACCTAAAGAAAAATAATAAGAGATAAAGTATTAACAAAATAAGAAAACTATATATAAATTTGAAGTAAAAAACAACTATTCTAAATTATTCTCATATGGAAACCCCATAGCAAAAGGGTGCAATAGGCCAAAAATTTTAAATTTGTAATTTTATAAAAATTGAAAGCTAATTGTTCTAATTCTTCAAGAAATTGAGTTTAGAAAAATAAAATTTTTTTGTCCCATTACACCCTTTTGCTATAAGGGTCCCATATGACAATCGTGAAGGACCTTCATGATTAGATTAGTAGATTTTGATTTGCTGCAGTATTCCTAAAGAAAAAATAATAAGAGATAGAGTATTAACAAAAGAAGAAAACTATGAAAACTACATATAAATATGAAGCAAGAAACAACAATTCTAAATTATTCATAATACATAGTCATGTAACGATCGTGAAGGACCTTCACGATTAGATTAGTAGATTTTGATTTGCTGCAGTATATCTAAATAATAGATATTAAAATATTAACAAAATATGAAATTATTTATAAACATAAATTAAGAAACAACTATTTTAAATTATTCTCATATTATGATTAGGGTTGGTTTGGTCCTGAGGAGACTGGCTAAGGACCGGTCTTTTTGGCTACTTACACAGTCTTCAGTTTTTAGTCTTTTAACAAATTCAGACCGGTTAATAATAAACTATTAAAATAAATTTATAAGCTATTAAAATAAGCTTTTAAACTATTAAAATAAACTTTTAAACTATTAAAATAAACTTTTAAACTATTAAACCAAAATTTTAACCAATTAAAAACTATTATTTCATGAATTTATTTCAATAATGATAGCTAAATTTGAATTTTTTTTTTTGGGCTTGTATTACTCACACAAATATCATAATTTGTAGCAAATAGTACCTCCTTGTTAGTGTACCCCCACGATTTGTATCTGGGTTTAATCAAGTATATGTTGTAAACATGATTGTAAAAGACCCAAGTATATCTAAAACGCAATTTATATGGTACGTGATATCTTTTATATCTTTTTTTTATAATTCTATTAAGTGATCGGTCAGCCTAATTGCATTTAAAGTATCTTCCATATATAAACTTCCCCACGTAAAATACCCTCCACCTGACAAAGTACCCACCAGGTACTAATCAAGATTTTGTTTCTAGGAATATAAGAGACCCGGGATACTATTTGCCACAAATTACGGTAAGTATTTCTTATTTTTTGCTACATCAATACCAAAATTTTCATGTATACATGATATATATAAAATTCTTTAAAGTTTATTTATATAGAATTAGGGTTAGTATAAGAGTTAAAATTTAGTAGTAAGTATAGTAAAATTGCTTAAGAAAATTTTTTTGTTAGAGTGCAGAAGGTAGTTTCTTATATTAATTTTTAGAAAACATATAATTTTTTCTGATTTTAAATTTTTTTATTGTGTTATATTATATCAAATTATAATCATCTATTGGATAATTCTTGTAGATCTTCATATAAGCATAAAAATTTTAGTAATATTTTTAAAAAAAATTTATATTTTTGATACTTTTGTACTTATTTTTTTGATACAGCTAAATATTATGATTTCTCAAAATCAAATCAAATCAAATATTAAGTATATTTGAATTTGATTTGATTTGAAATTTTTGTATTTGAATTTGATTTGATCAAATCAAATCAAATAAAATAAAATAATATTTAGAAATTTTTAAAATTTTTAAAATTTTATTTTTTAAAATTTTTAATTTACGCAAAATTTTACTAAGTTAATTAATTTTGTATATTAAATAAAAAATATTTTTCTAATCAAAATACCTTTAGTTAAATAGAAAGAAAAAGATAATTATCTTAATAAAATTTTGTATAAATAGCTATTATATTTATAATTTCAATAAAAATTAAATTAAATATTCAAATATTTATCAAATAAATCAAATATTTGGGCTGCTATTAATAGAAATCAAGCAGATCTACATTTAGAAAAAAAATTAATATCTTAAATTTCACAGCTCATATCTTAATAACTTTTAAAGATATATTGATAATTTAATATTTAAAAAAAGTTTACGATCTAAGTTTTCTTTTAAATATTAAATCATCAAGATATCTTTAAAATTTATCAAGATGTAAGCTGTGAAATTTAAGGTATTAATTTTTTTCAAATGTAAATCTGCTTGATTTCTATTGATAGCAGCCTATTTTGTTAATTTGAATTTGAATAATTTGAAATTTTTATATTTAAATTTGATTTAATATCAAATATTTAATTAAATCAAATCAAATCAAATCAAATTGCAAAACTCTACTAAACATACTTTAAAATTGTTATACTTTTATTAAAATTTTATTATAAAAACATATAGTCCTATAGATTAGTTTTAGAGTATGTTTAAGT